GTGCAGCCAGGCTCCGGAGAATATGACTTTCTCAACTTGGGACAAAATGGATACTCCTGTCCATCTACTTCACAAGCCCCAGAGGGAAATCTCCTCCTCCTCCCCCTACACCCTCCCCACACACACCACACTCACCCCTTCTTTGCCTGACAGGTCCTTTATCACCTGGAAACTCCTGCAGACTCCCCAGGGCTCTCCCACTTCCAAGCTGTTCTCACTCCAAATCACTCATCATTATCATCCGCTCATCTCTTTCCTTTCATAGGTCCCCATCATATACAGTCTAAGATCTCATTCACATGTGACAGAGAAGCTGTTCTTGCTTTGTCCCTGCATTGGCAGGCCCTCTCAGACTTTTCTGTATGCCTGGCTTTCTAGAACCCATGGAGGTCCCATTTGCTCAGGCTGCAACTTCTCCCTCAATTCTTCCTCTCTCTTCTTCAGCTCCTCTTGTCCTTCAGCCTGACCCTGAGTCAGCTTTTCCAGGAAGTTTTTCCTGACAACACCCTGCAGCCTAAATTAGCACTGTGCCAGGCAGCCTGCATTTTCCCTTTCCAAGCATTTATTACACTGAACTAGAATTGCTTGTGGATCTTCTCACCTTGCCCACCGCACTCTCCAGGTTAGGCACACTGGAAGCCTTTAAGGTCAGGAGCTTTATCCTGTGTGGTCGTAGTATCCCTAATCTCGATTAAATGTTGCCACTTATTATATGAGCAGTAAGAGCTTCTGGAGAATCCCTGGGTGATGCAAATGATTAAGCACTTGTCAGCTAACAGAAAGGTTGGAGGTTCAAGCCTACCCAGAGGCATCGCAGAAGAATACTCTGGAGATCTGCTTCTGAAGAGTTAATCGTTAAAAACCCGATGGAACACGGCTTCATTTTGGCACACATGGGATCACCATGAGTTGGGGTCAATTCAACAGCAACTGGTTTTTACAAGCTTATGGGATGCATAAGTAACCAAGTGATACTGCCAGAGAAACACAAGTGTGAAAAGGTAAGGGAAGCTTCTCCCCCTCCCTCCATTGCTCCTTAGGTACTAGATTCTCCTCTGTTTTCTCTTTTCCAAATGCCTCTGCCCACAGTATCAATGAGGGCATATCAATACATTCTTCATATGTGCCTGATGGGTCTCCCACTCCACTAAACACTCTGGCTACAATGTTTAAAAAAAAAAAAAAAAGATAGATGTGGTGGAAAGAGCGGTGGTAATGAAACAAATAAATGATAATGAGTCAAATCACAAAAAAGAGCACATCTTTAAAAGTGATAAAAATAAAATCTTATGTTGCTAAACTATGTCTTAAAGGCTAAACTATGTCTTAAAGTATCATCAAACATTATCTAAATAGTTGAGCATAGAGTTGAGCATTAAATCTCTTCCAAGTGTACCCCATTTCTCTGCTCTCTCTCTCTCATTCTGTCTCTGGTCTGTCCCAAAGCATCTGGGCAAAGATATCTTCCCATCTTTATCCTTCTGGCAACCCCTGCCACTCATGTCTAGCCTGGCTGGGCCCTTCTTCCATCACTTGCTGTGCTCTTGGAGTAGACAGTCTGTCCTCCCTGAACCCCAGATAGTTTTGAAGTGGTCTTGCATTGGAACTGCTCTCACCATAGGCCCCGACCAACTCTACAGGACTCCATCAGCCTGCTGTGCTTCCCAGCATCAAAATGCCCCAGATGCAGCCACCATTTTTCTCACCCTACATCCATTCACTCATTTTAGGCATTAGTTCATTCACTCATCACTTAACCAAGTGTTTATTAATGACTATGCTGTGTGCTGGGAGCTCTGGTAGCATAGTGCCTAAGGCACTTGACTGCTAACCAGGAGGCTGGTAGTTCAAATCCACCAGCCACTCCTTGGAAGGAAGGTTAGCCAATCTACTTTCATAGTGATACTGCCTTGGAAACCCAAGGAGGGGTTGCTATGAGTTGGATCTGACTCGATGGCACATAACAACAATGACGACGACATTTCTGGTGGCTAAGGATTTCTGGTGGTATAGTGGTTAAAGCATTTGGCTGCTAACCAAAGGTCTATGGTTTGAACCCACCGGTCACTCCATGGCAGAAAGATGAAACAATCTGCTTCCATTAAGATTTATAGCCTTAGAAATCCTGTGGGAGTCACTATGAGTGGTAATCAACTCTGTGGCAGTGGGTTTGTTTTTTGATTTGGATTATATTATGTGCTAATAGTCTTAGACGTCACATTGCACTGGGCAAATCTGCTGCAAAAGACCTCTTTAAAGTGTTAAGGAGCAATGACGTCGTTTTGAAGACTAAGGTGTGCCTAACCCAAGCTGTGGTATTTTCAATTACTTCATATGCACGTGAAAGCTGGACAATGAGTAAAGAAGACCAAAGAAGAGTTGTTGCCTTTGAATTGTGGTATTGATGAAGAATACTGAAAATACCATGGACTGACAGAAGAACAAACAAATCTGCCTTGGAAAAAGTACAGCTGGAATGCTCCTTGGAAGCCAGAATGGCCAGGCTTCATCTCACCTACTTTGGTCATGTTGTCAAAAGGGACCATTCCCTGAGCAAGGATACCATGCTTGGTAAAGTAGAGAGTTAGCACAAGAGGGGAAGACCTTAAACAAGATGAATTGACACAGTGGCTACAACAATTGGCTCAAGCATAGCAAGGATTGTGAGGATGGCACACGACTGGGTCAGTGTTTCGTTCTGTTGTACATAGGGTTGCTATGAGTCAGAATCAGCTTGATGGCACCTAACAGCTATGACATACTATGTGCCAGTCATCAGATGCTAGGCATCTAGAGATAAGTGGTGCCTGTGCTCAAGGTGCATGCACAGTATCAAGTGGGGAGATGAATGTAGGTATGAACTTTCTAAGATGGAAGAAGGCCAGAGACAGAAACTGTAGTGGTAAGTATTTAATTTTTGTCTTGATGAAAACTTGTGGTCTTTCTTTGTCACAAACTTGCTGGTTTAAAATAAAGCCCATTTATGATCTCACAACGTCTGTGGGGCAGGAACCTGGGCATAACTTAGGCCTTCAGGTCTCTCACAAGGCTGCAATTAGTGTCAGCCAGGGCTAGGATCTTATCTAAGCCTCAAGAGAAGGATCCATTTCCAAGCTCACTTGGTTTTTGGCAGAATTCAACTCCCCGAGTGCTACTGAGCTGAGGGTTTCAGTTCATTGCTGGCTGTTGGCTGAAGATTGCCCTCAGCTCCTTGTGATGTGATCCTCTCCAACATGGCCACTTGCTTCATCAAAGTGTGCAAGCTGAGAATGTAAAACAGAGTTTGCTAGCAAAACAGAATCACAATTTCTTGCAAACGAATCACAGAAGTGACACCCCATCCCTTTACCATACTGTATCAGAAGCCATTTGCTAGTTCAATCCACACTCAGAAGAGATTACACAAGTGAACGACTAGCAAGAGGCGAGGATCATTGGGGACCACCTTAAAGACTGTCCCTTCACAGTCCATTTGGGGAATTGCAGGTAGTCTTGTGGTATGAGGGGCAGTGCAGCAAGACATAAGGCCAGAGGCAGACAGATACAGATCACTAGGGGCTACATAAACAAGCATATTGTTTTGTTGGAGATGCAATTCCCTTCTTTTCTTTCCTTTTTTTTTCATTTTATTTTGGTAAAAAAAAATATTAACAAAACATTTGCCTTTTCAACAATTCGTATGTGTACAATTCAGTGACATGAACTGCATTCATCATGTTGTGCAACCATCATCACTCTCCATTTCCAAACTTATCCATTTTATCCTTAACAGGAACTCAGTGCCCCCTAAGCAATAGCTCCTCCTCTCACATTGCCACCTACCCCTGATCACCACTAAGAAAGTTTCATCTCTACATATTTGCCTGCTCTAGGTATTTAATGTAAGTAGGATCATACAACGTTTGTCCTTTTGTGTCTTTTCTTTAAACTCATCTTTTGTTTTGCTTTCTTTTTCAAAATCACTTTGGCTTCTTGAGTTTCCTGAACTCCCATCCTACAGTTGCACATCCTGCACCATCCGTTCCCTGACTCCTTCCCATGTTTTCATCCTCCAACAGGAACCAGCCCACCTGTCATTCAGGCACACCTAAGACTTTTAAAAATGCCACTCAGTTCAATACTCCTGAACCCAAGCAGCCAAAACTCCAAAATCCATCTTTTATACTTTGGGAAAAAGTTGTTTTTGGCTTCAAAAAAAAAACATAAAGCATAAGAAGAGGAGAGGGAGTAAGTAGGGAGGCAAGGGTTGAAATGCCTCCTTGGGAGACCTGCCCTTCCCACCAGCCTCCAACTTGCTCCCTGATTGTGGTGCTGCCACTGGGCCTTTGTAATTCTAAATCCATCATCAGTCCCATTCTTTAGAGGAAGGCACAGAAAAACCAAAACTTTCCAAACCACAACCAACCTTCCCTCAGGAAATGGCCTCATTTCATGTTCTCCCATTGCTGAGAAGGTTGGTTGATGACTGTTGTCACAATGATTACACAAAGACTGTTATTTCTTCTCATTTAGATTGAAAAATGTCCACAGTCTGGCTTCTAGAGAATTTTGCTGGCTTCTTTACCTTGATCACTTTTCCTGCACGTGCAAGAGTGTGTTCTTGCCAAAGCTCATTTCTCTGTGCTTAATAAAGCGTTTTATGGGCTACTTTTTTGGCATGAAGCCCACAGTCCTCTATCCTTTGATCTGCTGACTCTACATGTGCAGAGCTAGCATTTAGTAAGCCTTATCCTTCCAAATATTGCTTCTTCTTGTTGTTAGCTGCTGTTGAGTCAGCCCTTGACTCGTGGCCACCCCAAAACGAAACACTGCCTGGTCCTGCATCATCCCCTTGATGGTTGCAGATCGGACCATTGTAATTCATACAGTTTTCAGTAGCTGAGTTTTGGAAGTAGATCTCCAGGTTCTTCCTAGTCCATCGCTGTTTGGAGGCTCTTCTGAAAGCTGTTCAACATCATCGCAGCAAGACTCCACCAAGAGATCAGTGGCTGCGCATGAAGTGCATTGGCTGGGAATCGAACCCAGGTCTCCCACGTGGAAGGTGAGAATTTTACCATTGAACCACCATTGCCTCCTCCATATTGTTCCAGTTGTGGAATCAGTTCTGACTCATGCTGTCCCCATGTGTGTCAGAGTAGAACTGGGCTCCAAAGGGCTTTCAATGTCTGATTTATCAGAAATAGATCAACAAGCCCTTTTTCTGAGTTGACTCAAAGCACCAATTTTTCAGCTGGCAGCTGAGTGTGTTGACTATCTGAGTCACCTAAGAAGCCCTCAAATATTGCTAGCCACATTCAAACTGTATCATTCCTAAGTTTCATCTGGGAGCCCTGGGGACTCCTTTTTGATGATCCTTAGATGCCTTTGGCCTTGATCCTTGCCCCATCCATTATTCATCCCTTAGGAAATGGGATAAAAGCTGAGATATATTCATGGATTTTGACGGTTTCCACCAACTGCTTTTCATATCAAACTCCCAGTTACAGTGCATCCATTTGGAGTATAGCTGACTCTAAAAATGGGCCATGACAACATTCCAAAGACAATGGCTTTGATTTCTCAGCCAGAAGACATCTGCTGACTTGTTCTGACATTTTTACCTTCTAGGTTCAGGCCAAAATGGTCCCCCTACTCCCTGAGCATGTCTCCCTGTTGGAGAATCATTCTATCCTCCTTTTTTCCTTGGCTTAGTGTTATCACCTTTTTCTAGTACTTCTGCTTCAACTCTCTATGCAATATTTTACCTTGGACCAAGAGAATATTTGCAGCTGACAGACGGTTGTATTGTCTTTGAAGCTGCTGGCTCAAGACTAGTCTCTGGCTGGAGAAAGAACTTACTGGAATTACTTAGAAATATCCTTTCTGCTTTTGTTTCCTTCTCTGTGTTTATGCATGAATGAGATGTCAGTGATCAGGAGGGAAAGTACCAGACATTCTCTCTCTGAATCAGCTGAGGATGCATTTCCAACTTCCTTCCTTTCCACAAAAAGGACACTATGGAATGACTGTCCTGTCCTTCTAACTACCTCCAGTTCCCAGCCTCATCTCCTCCTCCTTTCAATCCCCAAGGTCCCCCTGCTTGGGATAGGAGCAGAAGTGTAAGTCAGGTGTTCTCTACTTGGCAAGAAAAGATTGATTAGAGCCTCCCCCAAAGAAACATTCCCATGTGGTTTTGCCTAGTCCCTTGCTCCCTTTGCAAAATATAGAGTCAAGCACGGGCTTCAGTGGGTGATGAGGAGATTTGTTTAACTGCTTCAAAATTATTATTTGCATGCAGAAGCCCTTGAAACAAAAGCCCCAATGTGTGTAAAAAATGCCACAGGATTAAGCTTTTGCTTGAGTCCCTTCTGAAAGGATGTGTGATCACACACAGGACACTTGAGAATAAAATGAGCTATCAAATAACCTAATAAATACACTCAGCCAAGAAATTCAATCTGGCAGGCAACCCCACACCCAGAGCATTCTGGATCAGCCTTGCTTCTTGGTTGGCCCTCATTGCCTGATGAGCTCTGCTTTTGTCTCCATTTAGAACTTGAATGAGGGGCTGCATCCAGGCCTACTGGAGCCACTGGGAAGGTGAGCAAGAGAGGAGGATCATTTGAGGACAAATACAGCAGATGCACAGTTCCTGATCTTACAGGAACATTGCTTCAGTACCTAGGAAATGGGAAATGTTACTGAAGCAATGATTCAGGCCAATGGGACCCCAGTCCACCAGTTGCCAAGCCTGGATGAATAAGCTCTCATGGAGTCAGCCACCAGGACTCTCAGCAAAGGGAAGAAAGAGCAAACCCAGCCCATCTTCACATCCCCACCACCTGAGAAAGCAGCATGCTGTTCAAGATAGCAGTAGCCAAGAAAATCTTAGCAATGAAAGAAATCTTAAGAGTCCATGCAGTTCTGCCCTCTCTTGAAAGTGAGACCTTAGAAGGTTCAGGAAAATGCCAAGGTCACCCAGCAGTCTGTTTCAACTGGGTAAAAAGTCTAAGTTTTTAGTGTGTGGCTTTCATTCATGCACATGCAAGCTCTGATAGTGGTCTTTTGGGAAGGTTTCCCAATAAAAACTAAATAAACACCAGTTGCAGTCAAGTCAATTCTGCCTCATGATGACCCTAAGTGTGTCAGAGTAGAACTGTGCTCAATGTCTAATTTTTTGGAAGTAGATCACAAGGGCTTTCTTCCAAGGTGCCTCTAGGTGGACTTGAACCAACAATTTTTCAGTTAGTAGCCGAGTTGTTAACTGCACCATGCAGAGACTCTTACAAAACAAATAAACCAAAAACCAAGAAGTAATTGTAAATTCTTCATTACCAAACAGCATCCAGGAATGCCCACATACACATGCACTGTCTCAAGAACAACGAAGCAGAGCAGTTACTATCTTCCTACTGGATAGCCCTGGGTTTTGCAACCCCAAAAACCCCATCTTCTCTTCTGTAGTCCACCACAGTTTTGGGTGGCCCACAATATGCTTCCTGGGCATCAGCCTCAGCTCTGCTCGGATCACTGCCTACAACAGGTTCAAATCAATCTCCCTGTCTCATTCTCAACTCCCTCCAAGTCATCCTTGCCCTGAAGCAAACGGTGAAATTCACAAAATGTAAGCTTGATGTGGTTGTTCCTCTGCTTTAAACCCCCCAGTGGTTCTAAGCATGAGAACATTCTAATTGTATAGTGGAACATGCACAGCCTTTCATGATCTGGCCTTGGCCTTCATTTCCAGTCTCATTGGCCCATCTCCCACACCCTCTGCCCTGTCATGCAGTAACTCTCACACGTTCTTCATCACCTCTGTGCTCTTGCCCATATTATTCCCTTTTCCTACAAGGCCTGGTGAAAATCTGTTCATCCTTCAAGGCTCAGCTCAAGTGCTACTTCCTCCAGGAAGTCCTCCTTTGCCTCCATAACTCCTATACCACCTTCTGCTCACCTCTGTGATTGCTCTGATCACATTGCTGAATTAATGCTTACATTTCAGTGTTTTTATCGAATTATAAACTCCTGAAGAACCAAGATAGGAGTCTACTCAGCTTTGTATCCCTAGCACATTGCCTGGCATATAGGAGATACATAGACATATTCATTTATTGTTGTTATTGTTGTTGTTGTTGTTGTGTGCCGTCAAGTCAGACCTAACACATAGCAACCCCTCCTTGGGTTTCTGAGGCAGTATCACCATGGAAGTAGATTGCCCAACCTTCCTTCCGGGGAGTGGCTGGTGGGTTTGAACCACCAGCCTTCTGGTTAGCAGTCAAGTGCCTTAGGCACTATGCTACCAGATCCCCTTATTCGTTTATTAGAAGAAACAAATTGATTTATTGTGCACCTACTACGTGCTTGGCATTCTCTAGGCACTAGGACTACAGAGATGAATAGAACAGAAAAAAGAAAATCCCTGCCTTTCTGAAGCTTAGATAATAGTGGGAGAGTCAGAAAAATAACCAAATATATAACTGCATAAAGTGATAAGTGCTAAAAGGAAAAAATAATACTGGTAAAAGAGAGAGAGAGAGAGAGAAAGGGAGGGACTTGTTTTAGAGGGCAAGTTAGAGACAGAAACAATGAAGAGGTGACATTTGGACCTGGATGGCATGAAATGAGGAGTTCCATTAGAGAGGAGAAGAGCATTCCAGGAACAGGGAAGGATAAGTAGCAAGGCCCTGGGGTAGAAGTGTGTTGGGTGTATCTGAGGAGCAGCAAGGTGGCTCATATGGCTGGAGTGCAGTGACATGCACATGCATATTGACAAAAGTACTTCTCGAAAAGAAATAGCAAACACAAAATTATATGAGGGAGGAGTGGGAGAAAGGAGAATATAGGTTGCTGTGAGTTATTGCCAGTATTCTAGTTCTAGGCTTGAGAAGGAGCTCAAGTGGTGTAGTGCCTAAGGCACTTGACTGCTAACCAGAAGGCTGGTGGTTCAAACCCACCAACCACTCCTTGGAAGGAAGGTTGGGCAATCTACTTCCATAGAGATAGTGCCTCGGGAACCCAAGAGGGGTCACTATGAGTCAGGGCCGACTCAGTGGCACATAACAACAGCAACAAACAACAGGCTTGAGAGATGGCTTCACAGGTGTTTGTTATGTTGTTGTTGTTGTTGTTGTTGTTAGGTGCCATCAAGTCAGCTCCAATTCATAGCAACCCTATGTACAACAGAATGAAACACTGCCTGGTCCTGTGCCAGCCTCACAATCCTTGCTATACCTGAGCCCATTGTTGCAGCCACTGTGTCAATCCATCTCGTTGAGGGCCTTGCCCTTTTTCACAGACTCTCTACGATATCTTTCTTCAGGGAAAGGCCCTTTCTGACAACATGGGCCCACGGTGTTTGTTATACCAGGAACAAGTAAGTAACTAGGCCATCTTCGTTTCCTAGGGCCACCATAACAAAATAATGTCGACTGGGTGGCTTACAAGAATAGAAATTTTATAATCTTCTAGTTTTGAAGACTAGAAGTCCAAATCAACGAGTCAGCTGGGCCATGCTGCCTCTGAATGCCCTATTTCCAAGCATCTTCAAAGACCCTATCTTCAAACAAGATCTTAGCCACATGTGCAAGGGTTAAGACTTCAACATAACTTTTGGGGGGCCCACAATTCAATCAATAACAAAGCCTATGCATGAAATATGTCAAGAGCCAAGAATGATCACTAATCTGATTCTGCGCACTGAGGAAATATAGCATAAAGCAATTCTCCTGGGGCTAAAAATGTCATTATTCTGAGATAAGTATATATGCCTACTCCTCACTCCCACGGCTCGTCTGTCAGTTTGTCATATTGTGGTGCCTTGCATGTTGTTGTAAGGTTGGAGGCTATGCCATTGGTATATCAAATACCAGCAGGGTCCCCCATGGTGGCACAAGACCAGGCGGTATTTCATTCTGTTGTGCATAAGGTTGCTATGAATCAAAGCCAACTCAATGGCACCTAACAACAACAACTCTTCACTTATCAACACAGTTAGGCTCCAAAGACCAAGTGATCATATGAAAATTAGTGTTACACAAAAAGGATAACAAGATAGTTGTCTGATAGTCAGATAACAAGATAGTAAGTGAGGAG